GGCTGCAGGACTGATTTCTGCTCGATTTGGCTCAGGGCCGGCTGGAGACTGGCCAGAGGCTGGCTAAAGGGGGTTGGGTTCCCCTGCTTCTCAGCTCAAGTTGTCCCTGGAGCGAAGCAATAAGAAGCAGCTTATAAAATAAGCAAACACAGAGGCAGCTTACAGACAGTTATCCAGCCAGCCGGAGATGAACGGCAGATGAATCACACACACAGCTCTACATTGCGCTGATACCCTCCCCACCACACACCCCTGACCTTGACCCTTGAGGTTCTTCCTAACCTGTTTCTGAATGGAAGTCAGTGCAGCTGGGCTGTCTAGCCACGAACTAACCACGACCCCCCTCCACTGCACAGACCCCTCATCGCCTATTTATTTAGCCTGTTCCCACGCTTGATTACTGGGATGTTCTCTCTGCATCTGAATGGTGCAATTTAATATTTATGTGGCCGTCATGGTCCTGTCTGTTCCAGGATTATCTCTGGTTTGTATTAGTTACCTGCTAAACATTGATCTGAATGTTTTATTTTCAATTCAGGAAGCTTCTCTTTCTTTCCACGCAGTTCTATTCCTCTCTGCTTTACATCTCACACCGCATCTGCAGTCTCTCTCGATGCCTCATTCATATAAACCATTCAGAATGAGCACATACATACACTATGTAATGTATGTGTAAGGGTGTGTGTGTGTGTGTGCGTGTAAATATACACGTCATTCGGGGGGTTCAAACCCCTCCACCTTCACATTTTCATTACGGCCAAATCTCAGGCCTGTGCTACAGCAGCGTGGCCTTTTGCCGGCGAGCAGGCAGTTTAATCACACATACAGCACTACTCCATTTTCATTTCCTTTTCATACAGCCTCTATTCCACTCCGGCTTCATAATTCTCCCTTCAGAGCTGTCTAGCCCGTCTGAGTGTTTGCAGCCTGTTGAAATGACATAATCAGTGACTTGGATAAATGCCTGACTGTTTTTCCTGAGTCTATAATCAGACTTGGGGCTCAGTGTTGCAGCTCTGAGGAAACAGCAGTAGCAGCAGCAACACTTGACTCAGGAATTACTTCCTAAGGAGGGCAGTTTCACATACAGTAAGGAATTTGGTTGAGCATCAATGAAATGAATTTACTTTGGTCTGCCAAGTGGATCTTGACAAATGAAATGGTAGTTCTTACTTACAGAAGCAGAAAAAAATTTTACTTAAAAGAAATATGAATCATTTAATCACAGCCAGGCATACTGTTTAAGAAATTGATATTGCAATTGACAATTACAAAATTTGTCAGAAATAATGGATAGTTATCTAGCTTTTACAACAGTGTTGCAAGATTGAAAGTGAGCGCATATATATATATATATATATATATATATATATATATATATATATATATATATATATATATATATATATATATATATATATATATATATATATATATATATATATATATATATATATATATATATATATATATATATATTAGTGTGTGTGTGTGTGTGTGTGTAAAAATGGATAAAAATGAAATAAAATAAAACAAAATAAATGTGCATTTAAAAAAAGCCATTTTGATCTTTTGGGGTCTGCACTCTGTTCGAAATGAAATGTCATTCCTTCCACATATCAAACACAGTTAATGCAATTTTAACATCATATAAGGAAAACTTCATATGAGGGAGTTCCCTCAAAATGGTAAATCAAAAATGACCGATTTACCTTTCATGCTGTATTTAAAAGACATCAAAACGCCTATTCAAATTTCATTTTTCATTTGGATGATAAAGTGTTTCGAGAGAGAACCAATCACTTATTTGTTCGGTCTCGACAAAGACAAAAAGAGAATAAATTGAGCGATGGCTGTAAATGCTTTCAGCAACTATTACTTCTGTGGGTGGAACACATTCAATCAATACCTAAGCAAATAAAAAGCAGTGGGCAGTCTGAATGAGGAAAGCTGCAGCGGACTGGACAATCACACACACACACAAACAAATGAACATAATATGGTGAAGTTCATGTTGGGAGAGCTTACAGTTTTACTCTAAATAATGTTTTTAATCATGCAACGATCTTATCAGAATACCTTTTTACTTTAACAAAATGTTGTTACTATTCTTTAATTAATTTGGATAATTTAGACAGAATTATATATATTTTAGCGGACTCGAAAGCCCATCATCTATATAATTAGAAATATATTTGAGAAAACCATTTGGTTATTACTTGAGTGTAGGAGGCACGTGGAACACTCCTATATGTGGCTTTGCTGTTGACGGTCTTTGGCTTTAAAGCCTATGAGAATGGAAAGAGTGGATATTGTGTGTGACAGTGTGTGAATAAGTGTCTCAAACACAGACATACAAATACACAGACTACTATATTTATGCACATGCAGCATGTCCACCTAAAGCCAGGTCTACTGTAACTTTCTGCCTGTTCTCTTTCTGCTGTATTATGCATAATTGCAGCAGCATAGTTACATGCATGACTATAACTGTTATTAACATAAAAGCTTTCTGCAGGAGATGGTGTTAGAGGGCATGGCCTTTTTTTCCTCTGAGTAAGCGTGAATGGACACATTCATATATACATGATATGGAATAGCATGCAAGTGTGTGTGTGTGTGTGTGTGTCTGTGGGTCTGTGTGTGTTCATTCGGTATGTGCGGCTGACTGGCATACATGGTCCGGTGTTATGTTCATCTGGTGCTTCATAAAACATATGTTCCCCCCTTGTTTGATTTGAATATGCAAATGAGAATAACACGGCTCCACCCAGTTGATCCCCCATGATCCAGACTCTCTACTCTTTCTTCTTAGAAAGACTTAACACCCACCTCCCTGGGCTTGTCCTCCATCCCTCTTCCTCCGCCAAGAGCACCCTTCCACAGTGCCCACACAAACATCTACATTCAAGATTAGATGACAGGTTTGACAGGTCTGCCTTTCCTTTTTTCTCTCTTTCACTCCCTGCCTTTCACTCGTCAACCTGTTTTTCTAACTCTTTCCGAAACTTAGCTAGGTTTTCCGCAAACCCTAGAATTATTAATCTGGAGGGTAAAAACTGTTAAATGAAAATACACAATTAAACGGATGAATGAAATCATTTCAATCTAGCATGTCTGAACGCGAGTGGATTTGAGACTGTCTGTTTTTCACTGCCATTTCTGCCCACAAAAAAGATACAGTAGCTTGCAGCACCTCCAGGATAACTACAGCTAGCATGGGCTCTTTACACTAACCACCCCACCCCAGCCTCATCAGTGTCACTATGGGCTGATTAGACGGAGAAGCTTGATTAATGCAGCCTGAGTCTGATACAGAAGACGATAACAGGAGTGAACCAGCCTTTTGTGGATGGGTAAATGACAGCACTGGTTACCACACGACTAAAAAAGATAATTTAATTCCAAATCCCCCATACAGATATCAAGGACAAAACATAGCCATGTAATTTGTTGTACCATAAGCAACTATTTAGAAATATTGGCCCTTTGTCATGGGCTCTTACTGAGACAGAGAGCGTGTGTGTGTTTGTTGTCCTCTTGTCCTTGCTGTGAAGTTCATGGCAACACTACTACAGACCGACAACAGATACTATACTGCCAGTCTTCAGAGTGGATGATAGCTTATTTCCAGGACACCATTCACCAAATCGCTTTCTCCAGTAATTAGCACTGACAGGTGAAAACGGCCACGAATGCCACGAGAGTTCACAATGAAACGGACAATTGCACAAACACACAACTATAGACCCCAGACACACACAAACATAAACACACATGTCAGTGCACAACAGCAACAACAGAGGATCCATCAGCACAGCTAACACCACATTAAGACCATAAAGCACCAATACATCTCCTGTTCCACGTACACAGCCCGTATCCTGCTGCTTCTGCACTGATACCCCTGATCCCCCTGCGCTTTGACAAGGCGTAATAAAGCCTGTATGAAGCGCCGCATTGTGTGGGGAGAACACAATGTTGCATGCTGAGTGCTGTGAGAAGGGCGTACACCCGTGGGTCCCACGGCGCAGCAGCACACCAGGGCCTATAGCAGGGAGTGCTGAGCATGCTAATGAGGTCATTATATTATGCCTCTCCCTCGCTCCTGCTCTCCTTTACAGTGTGGGCTTTGCCTGTCAGAGGAGGTAGGGTACCAGTAATGCAGCCAACCACAGATGTCACATATGGCACAATGAGAAGACACATGAGCGTCTCCCAATGAGTCGCTCAGAGAAAGACTGGGTTACGCTCCATTTTTCAGCTAGCGTCAAAAGCAAGAATATGCTATCAATGATTTGCATAAGGTGAGCTTAAAGAAAAGTAAAGAGGAGGGCAACAACAGAGCTAATTGTTCCTGCTGTGTATTCAATCAGCAAACGCGCAGGACTGCGTTTCCTTTTTTCCTTTTACGCTAGCGGTATTATTTACAGCCGATGGGGAGGGGTTAAGATTAAGCACATGCAAATGCAATTACAAGATATTTGCATAGCCGTTAGCAATTAGGGGGCAGATGGCAAACAGCGGGCATTAAAAAGCGACCGAGCGCCATCTTGGCTGAGGGAGACAGCTGGCAGACAGGAATCGGCCATTTTGTAAGCATGGGTCGCTGCCAGGCTGAGGCGTACAGAGGCACCAGTCTCTCTCTGTGTGCCAGGAGATTGGCAGGCGAGGGGGAGTTGCGCTTTAATACCCTCCCTGGTACAGGCAACAACAACGAACTCCTCCAACAGTCAGTGACAGTATGATCACAGCCCAGGGCTCATGTTGAAAACTGACTGTGGAGGATCAACTACAACGTAACGTGTCTGTGTTCACTTTAAAAACACACATACACCTCTGAGCAGAGATGGTACCTTATCATAACAATGTTACCAGAAGGGGAAATATTTCTTATTTCTGTTCTTATTCTCCTTCCTTAGCACAATGTGGCTTTCAGAGTCATATAAATGGTATTAGTTACCACAGAACAAGCAATTAAATGAAAACACTGTACTCACCACATGAATCCCGATGTAATCTCTGTTAATGTTTTCATGCTTTCATGTCATCTGGCCTGCAATGTCCTTCCAAATCCATAAATATGTACAGAACGTGGCGTGACCTCTCAAAAGTTTTCAGCCGGATGTTTCTACCACTGAATGAAAAGGTATTTTTCTCCGCTGTGTTTTCTACTGAAGGCATTCACCTCTACACTGATGTTGAGGTATTTCATTCCTGAGGATTTTGCTAAAAAATCTGTAAAGCGAGTCTCTTTGTGTGGAGAAGGACTTCTGTAAACGTGGAGGGGAAAAAATTCACACAAAAAACCAAGTAGTATCAGACGGGGGGGCACTGAACAGGTACAACTACTGTCCTTTTCATCTCTCATTCAATTAGCAGCCATTCACTTGTGCTGCCATGGGATTCCTGCTGCACAGCAGTAAGTGGACTTACTTAGTGCTATTTCCACACACATACACACACACTGAGTATGAAAGCCCAGGCCCGCCTTCCTCTCTTCCACCTTATAGATCAATACTGCACTGCCATATCCTCTGATGGGAGCTGCTGTTGTGAGGATAAGAAAATCTAAAGCGAAAAGACAGGTTGTGTCTGATACAGTGGATGAGAGAAAAAGTTCAAATTGTCCTTTCATCCTGGCTCATGTGATCTTAGGAATATTGCGTTCTATGTGCTTGGAAGTGGGCAGTAACGTCCTGTGTACAGTCTCCCATGGATCCTTATTCAAACAGTTAAGGTGGAATGAGTAATAAGAGGGAGGGAGCTGGAAGAAAAGAGACCTTCGACGTCCTGTCTTCTTCTTCTTCCGTTTCTCTCCCTCCCTCGCTGTCTCCTTGTCTCTCTGGCAAAGTTTTATCAAGTGGTGTTGGACGCAGCAAAAACCCCTCTGGCTGAACCACACACAAAGACTCTCTCTGTCTCTTCCCTCTCCCTTTTTCTCTCCATTTTACACACTGACACACACACTGCGTGTGGGGCGGTTGCAGGGTTAGGGCCCTGGCCCTGGCTGGTGCTGGGACTGCTGGAGAAAGATAGAAAGACAGATGGATAGAGGAGCTGGGAGCAGTGGTGGTGGTTGGTCCCTGGGCTCCGAGGCCTGCAGGCGGTGCTGGGCAACCTCTGCTAGCCTCTCTCCTCTGTATTGATTTCTGCTGCTCCGCGCTGCTCCACTCTGCCGCGGAGGCTCCTAGCCGGCGGGGATGAGAGCTCGGCTCACCCGCCTCACCTGCCTCTCTCCTGGCTTGGCTGGCCTAGCCTGCCCACTCTGCCGCAGCTTTGGCTGGCCCCTGCCAACTCCCCGGGACCCCTGTTTGCAGCGCTGGGGCCACAGGAGGAAGGCAGCCAGAGAGCCCATGGCGATCCACAGCTGTGTTCACCTGCTCTGGGTTCACCCGCTTCGAACCACCTCCTCGAACTGCTTCTATCCTTCTCTCCTTCCATCCTTCCACCCACTCTGCTTCTCTTTTTCCTCCTCCACTGCCTCCTCCTCCTCCTCTTCTTCCTGCTCTACACAAACAGCCAGAGACAGAGATGGAGAAAAAACAAGTTAATCTTAACTTTCAGCATTTTACCCACTCTGAATGTCAATCCTGGTCTTTGATCAGCGAGAAGTCGGGGGTGAGGATTCTGGCATCCTCTCTCAGCTGGTAATGTGAACCTGCTAACCTTGGAGAGCAGAAACTGCTGGGATTGGAGGCCTGAGAGTTAAGTGTGTCAGGCAGAGAGATACTGTCTGCCAAAGGTACTCTCAGCTATTAGATTCTGATGTGCTGCAGATAGCAAAATATAGCAAGAGTGGGCCCATTATAAAAATCACCACTGCGTCAATAGAATACATTAGAAATATTTACAGGAAAAGTTTCTCTTCAGCAGTCACCCTCTTTTGCTCTCCGTAGCTGCACAAGCCCACTGAGTTTTATATTTATTTGACCTTAATGGTTAAAAATAACAAAATCAACATTTAAAACTGACATCACCCTTCTCCATTTGCGCTATAGTGAGTGTGAAGGAATGGAAATGTTTTGGCCAGACCAGTAGTGCTCTATAGAAACTTTGTCAAAGAAAACATCTCAGCTTTTGTATCATCTAAAATTATTCAAATGGGTTCAGCAGCCCTCTTCTTATGATAATAGCAGTTGGGGGGGAACATTTCTTTGAGGATTCACAGTCCCATTGTGTTCCTCAACAGAGAAAGAGCCGTGGCCAAATTCAACCCCCCACCACCCAACATTGCACCGCGCTGCACCAACCACACAATCTCCAAAATATCCTCGCTGCAGCCACCACAGAGCTGTGACAGCCCTTCTGTCCGACTCTCTCCACCCCTCTGCAGGCCTGAAAAAGAGACTAAAACCCACGGGCCGACTGCCAGGGGAATAGAGAAGTAAAGTGCAGAGGTTTAGAGTCGGTGGGCTGGCAAGGCTTTGGTTAGAGCTGTCTGTTAAGGAAAGAGCGAAGGGGGTGCGAGAGTGGTGTGGGGGGGTTACACTGTTGGGACAAGAGGGGCAAGTTTGGGAGAGGGGGGCGAGCTGAGTTAGGGGGACATGGATGGGGACTGGGGGTGCGGTGCATGTCTCAGACACAATAATACTATTCATTGGGCTCAGACATGGGTGTTAACTCCCCTCTGACAGAGCACAATGGGACTCGGCGGCATTCAGGCAGCCTTGGTGATATTGTTAGTTCAGGGCTGCATTCTCCCTGCCGCAGGATAGAGCGCCTGCATTGTACCCGTCCGGCAGGATGGATGGAGGGAGGTTTGAGAGGTGAAAGGCAAAGAAACAGAGAACAGTACGTTTGTCTATCTGTCAGTGCTGAAGGAGCGAGGGACAGAGGGAACAGTGGGCGGAGAAGGGCGGGGGGTGGAGGTGGTGGCGTTGGGGGTGTTTTGCCCCATGGCATTGGGCTTGTTTATTTCAGGGGGAAAAAATAAAAGGAGAAACTGAGACTAAAAGAGACAAGAGGCAATAAATACTGCTCAAGCAGCCGAGTGCAGGGCTAAAGAGGTATTAAAGTGGGTGGGGACACAGACGGAGTGAGGAAGGCATGGTGGCATGTTTATGGGGAAAAATGCAGCGGTTCATATGCTGCTTTTGAGTTTAGATGCATTTTGTTCATACGCCTCAAAAGAGGGAGAGTGGAGAAGTTTGGAGAAAGGGGAATGACAGAAAATGAGAACTGTGGTGGTTGCTGCTGTTTGTGACTCGGATGACGTGACATCCAACTACCACGAGACCTACTTTTCCAGAGCAGAGGAGAGGAGATGCAGCATATAATTCTAAGGAAGAAGAAACTGAGAGGGCTGAAAACTGAGCAGCAGGCTGTGACTTAGACAAAAACAAAAGTCAGGTTTCCAGTCAAACATAGCGCAAACCAAATTTCTAGAAAATCTGCAAAATAAAATGGGAATTAATGCCATTTCCATCCACTGTTATTAGGAGTTGGTGCCATTAGATGAATGCAGAAGAAGATGTAGCTAACGTGATTAAAAGGGCGCCAGCGACAGCTCAAATGGTGGAATACCACTTGCAAAACATGAGGGAAACACAACATTTATGTTTGCTTCATGTAGACATGTATGTAACATGCTTCACTTCACGTATGTCTTGATTTATCCACTAAGTCTGTTTGCATTGCACTTTCTGTTGTTTCAACTGCAGTTTCTTAATGCCTTTAAAGAAACAAGCAAGGCTTTGAGGTTGTTTTTTGTTTGTTTGTTTGGGGCTGTTGGTTGGACAAAACAAGACATCTGCCCTGGGCTACAGGAAACTGTGATGGGTATTTTCCACCATTTTCTGATTTACACAAAATAATTAATCAATTAATTTGAGAAAATAATAATAATAATTTTAATAAATCATTCAAAGGTGCTCCACTTTGTTATAGAAGTGCATATCTCTCATTGAAATGAACTTGATGATGATGTTACTTGGACACGTCACATATAAAAGGCAACACCATGTTGCCATATGGGCTCACAGACATCATCGATTTCCTTAGAAAGCTGCAGTTGCTGAACGTCTACCTCCCACTGAGAACTTTTATGAAGGTACTGTAAATAATAGCAGATCTATAGCAGCACTAAGGTATTGGTGAAAAGGACAAAGACATAAAAGGATGCAGTATCCATGGCTTCACACACACACACACACACGTATCTAATCACTAGACATGACACACACACACCCCATTTGGACACAGACAGACACACAGTATCACTGCTCCTTCTGCATGGAACAACCTGCTTTCATGAACAGTACTTTGTTTGTTTCCCCTCTGGTAAACTCTGACCAACCGTTCCCATAGCAACCGTACCTACCCGCTCCCTGTGTGAATGTGTGTGCGTGAAGTCAAAAAAGAGGGAGAGTGAGAGCAAGGCATGTGGGGTTGTGTGGAGGTTCAGAGTAGGACTTCCTGATCTTAATACAACAGATGTGCATGTATGTGTGTGTGTGTGTGTGTGTGTGTGTGGGCGATAATGTACATCTGAATCCTCAATGAACATTGTCGATCGTTCAGTGAGTTCAGTCCAAAAGCAACAAGCTAAACTTTTCACACATGGTCCCCGATTCTTAGTCAACTGCATTCACTCTCAGCAGTCTGGAGTCAAACTGCCCTCCTCAGATAAGGAAAGAGCCAGCGGTGTGATGCTGGGCTGTCAGGCAGGCAGGGGCTGGCCAGGGTACGTCTCTCGTCAGGGGGCTAATGCCCTTCAGGGGTGGCTGAGGTAGTGAGGGTACTGCACTTTGTCCCAGGAGGGGGGATTACACCGGTCAACCAGCACAGACAATGTACCCCCCTCCTGGGATGGGAGGACCAACCTGCTCTCTACCAATGATAGGGGCAGTCAACTGATCACTAACTTAATTAAGGACAGAGGAAAGTAAGAGAGGAGGAGGAAAGGTGATGCAGAAGACAGGGAGAGAGGCTGAGAAGAAGCAGAGGCAGGGGTGATAAAAGAGGGGGGTAAAAGGAGAGAAAGCGAGAGGAGAAGAAAGCGGCGCAAGGAGCACAGGGACACGCTAAAATAAGACGAGGCATGGAGTTAAAAAGAGAGCAATGGGAAGCAGTGGAGGGGTGAAGAGAAGGCTTCTCTAGCACAGGATTAGGGGAGGGAAGATGAAAGGATCAGTCTAACAGAGGACAGGAAAAAGGCCAGGAGAGATGGCCAGAGGAGGAAGACCAGCGACTTCAACTCCAAGCGAGGAAATCAAGTAGAAGAGGGAGAATGAAGAGAGGAAGAGCTCAGCTAACTTCGAGGCACAGGTGGAAGATGCCTTTTTTTAAAAATATATAACAGGTGCACAATGTGAATTCTCCCTCTCTGTTCCCTATTTATGCCACAGCACACACACCTATTCAAACCCAATGACAAATGCAGCAGTTAATTCTATTACAGAGGACTTTGAGAGAGGATATTTAGGGGACGGTTAGCGGGCCCAGGTAGCATAGCTCAAGCCCACTGCAGACAGATATGGCTCTGCAATACTTAACAACAGGGATTTGGCAGCACTGTTGATTGAACATGCCAAATCCCATTTGTCGGAGGGCTGTGCGCGTTTGTATCGACACTCTGTAACCTTGTGGTTCCGTAAAAGGAGACCTCAGTGTGTGTGTGTGTGTGTGTGTGTGTGTGTGTGTGTGTGTGTGTGTGCGCTTTCCTGGCGGGCAGGCAGGCAGGCGGGCGGGTGGGTGGCACAGTTCAGCTGGATAGGTGTATTGGTCTAAACTCCCCTCCATCTATGCTGCTCCCCATCCCTTCATCTCTCCATCTTTACATCTTTACATCGCCGTCCACCTTGATTCCCTCCCTTCGCAAAAAAAGGGTGACATGACGGCGATAGAGAGGCTTTCTCAACATTCCTTTTCTGGTTTTTCCTCCCATCCTCCCCCCCTCCCCCCCGTTTCTTCCATCCCCTATGGTAGAGCTGCCAGACAGGAGTGCTCAGCAGCTCTCCGAACATTATTGATCCTGAGAGCAAGCCGGCCAGGGAGTTGGTGTCTCTCCCTCTCTCTCTATCTCTCCTCCCTCCATCGCACCCTCATCCCCCACCGCAGCCCGCAACTTTTTTCTCCCTCCCTCCCTGCCTCTACTTCATTTATCAAGGTTAAAGAACTCTTATAAAAAAGGGAAGAGGGGGTCGCCTGGATGTTATCTGACTTCATGAAAGAAATCCCCTCAGGCCACTCCACTAGAGGAGGATGCTCTTTGCCAGACCCAACTTTACACACATACACACACACAAAACACGCAGTGGCACCAAGCAGCGGCCCACTCATAGCCAGTCAGAAATAGAAAGTAGCATGTCCAGTTTGGTACACAGCAACAGGGCAATCAGGAATAGAAATGAAGAGGATGGATGAATGGATAAGGGAAGAGGAAAGTAGAAAATTAGTCACTGTGTGTTACCCAACGAGGTCAAACATGATACCACTTTCACACAGTTTATGAAAGTCTTAATACATTGTAACTGTTGCTTTTAACGTTTAACAAATCTTTT